GTATCCGATAGGGATCCCAGGTTGACTTCTCGGTTTTAGAGTAGCTTTCAGCAAGCTATGGGAACAAAGCTGTCTCTTAGTACTGCCTTCTTTTTCCCAGACTGATGGACAATCAGAAAGGACGATTCGTACACTTGAAAATATACTCCGAGCTTGTGTCTTGGACTCTGGGGGCCATTGGGATGACCATCTACCCCTGATAGAGTTTGCCTACAACAATAGCTACCAAGCAAGCATCGGCATGGCTCCATATGAGGTGTTATATGGGCGCCCGTGCAGATCACCGATTTGTTGGGAGGAAGTTGACGATAGAAGATTGTTCGGCCTGGAGTTGGTAGAGGAGACCACGTCCAAAATAGTTAAAATCATAAAGAACATTTAGACAGCTCAGAGTAGGCAGAAGAGTTATGCAGATACCCAGATGAGAGACCTAGCGTTTGAGAAAAGCGACCGGGTATTTTTTAAGGTCATTCCTTTAAAGGGAATTAGTAGGTTCGGCAGGAGGAAAAAATTAAACTCCCGATTTATCGGACATTTTGAAATCTTAGACAGGATTGGTACTGCTGCCTACAGACTAGCACTGCCTCCAGAGCTCTCCAAAGTCCACAACGTGTTCCACGTATCCATGCTACGTAAGTACAACCCGGACCCTTCTCATGTCTTGGCTCATGAACCGCTTATGAAGAAATACCAGTCGGTATCACAGACCGAAAGAGCAGGATACTCCGCGATCAGAAAATATCATTTGTAAAAGTCGTGTGGCAGAACCACACGCCCAGGGAGGCTACTTGGGTGTTAAAATCAGATTTTAGAGCCTAGTATCCACATTTGTTCGACCAAGAGTAAGAGGCAAATTTAGGAGACCAAATTTCTTTAAGGGGGGGAGAGTTATAACACCCAAATATATATATTTTTTTATTTTTGTATTTGAATTTTTAGTTTAATTTTTTATATATTTAATTTATAAAATTTTAATTTAATTTAATTTAATGAAAATAAAAATAATAATAATGATAAAATTGGGTAAAAATATTATTTGGATTTAATTGAAATTGATTTTGGAAAAAAGGGATGAAAATTTGGATTATGGGGGTGTTTTTGAAAAGAAAATCGAAAACCAGATGTCAAAATGTAATTTAGAAAAGTTGTGCCACGTTAGCAGCCCAGTCAGCAGCCCCGGCCAACCAGGACACGCCGCGTGGTAAGAAAATGCTGACACCGGACGGGGTATGGAGACCTTATGTGTTTTAGCGCCCATACCGGACGGGGTATGGGAACGGCCCTGGAATCAGGTTGTAAATGTTAATGGTTCACGTGTAGCGGGGACCCCCTATGGATCCCCATGGATACTAGTAGGCTGGTAAAAGAGGAAATCTGTTTTCTGATGATTGAAATGTAAAGGTATGATATGTGTTATGTTATAAAGTGTTTCATGATATTATAAGGTTATTGTTTTCATAGGTTATTTTCATGAATCTCACCGAGGTAAGTGGACAGTAAAGATTTTTATGTTAATAAATGAGTTTGTTATAAATTATGCTTCATTGGTTGTTTTTGCTTTCTACCAACCTTTATTCCTGTGGCAGTGAGATAGTGTGATGTCTTTACTGGGTTAGTGTAGCTCATTCCTTACTTAACTTTTTCAGATCAAGAAGACGTGGTTCCCGAGCCCGTTCCGCAGGAAGACGGTGAGTTAGACGCCTAAGGACTTTATAGCTCCATTTATAGTTTTTTATTTCGAGTATCACTTTTAATTAGCTTATTCTTTCATGATTTGAGTACATTTTTGGCTATTGTGTAAGGGATGTTAATTAAAATTTTTATTACGTTTCCGCATTTAAGATTTTTAATATATACATCTTCATTTAAATTCTGGGGCTATTACAATTATCATGAGTAGTTTTGAAAATAATGAGATACATGTTTCAATAAGTAACAAGCTACAACACTTACAACAAAAATCAATTAATTTCATAATAAATCATTTATATATAATATATATTTTCTAAATATCAATAAACATCATACAATGAGCCACACTTACCATTATCATAGAAGACAAAAGATAGTTTTAAAATGATTGACATCTAATATTATGAACAGACATATAATTCTCAAAAAGGATCGGACTCCCTCCATAAAATGGATGAGCACAACAGACTCCTTTCATAATATAGATGGGCACTAACGAACTCCCTCCATAATAATGATGAACATAAATCAAAATTATATATCATCCAATTTCTTAAAAGTTTAAACATCAACTTGAGCAAACATATAGTTATATTACTAATCAAATTCTAGAACTCGGTTTTATTAATATACAAATCAACCTTTAGATAACGGATTTAAATCATATAAACAACAAATAATAACCAAAACAATCAAATGATTGGTAGAGTAATTATATATATATATAAGCAATTAGAAGAAAAACATAAATTTTAATTTTGATATTTGCATAAGTTACTAAAATATTGATGCTAGAAATTAATGAATCATATAGATAAAGAATTAAGTAAGAGAAATACGAACAAAAACCAATGCAAATCATGTTATAGTAGGTTATTTACCTTGAATCGAGGAAATCAAACTATTTTGAGCTTCGTTAACATTAAATAAGTAGTAAAATAGCGAAAACATAGAGAAACCCTTCAAAACTTCAAATTCTCTCACCAAACCCTTCCAAAAACTTGTTTTGGTAATTTATATATGCTTATGGAGTTGGTACACAACTCATAAGAATAGCTAATTGGCAAACAACTCTTGGACAATTCAAAAGATGACACCTAGCCATGAGGTGTCACAAAGTTTACCAAGAAAATGACACCTAACCATGAGGTGTTGTAAGTTTGTCAAGAAGATGGCACCTTGTCAAAAGGTGTCATATACTTTTAAATTTTTGTCAAACTGCTCACAACTATTTCTAAATAAGATATGTAATCTATTAGACATATAAACTTTATTAATAAAAATAACTCAAGGTGTGTATTAATAAAAAAATTAAGCAAATAAGGTAAGTCATATGCATAGATAATGTTTAGAAACTAAAGATTGTCACACATGTACTTGACCATCACGAAGCCAAATCTTTCATAATCAATGCAATTATTGAGCCAATATAAAACATTTGTCAAACGAACACCTTAAGGTAACAAATAAAGTTTTAAGATATATTAAGGTGGTACTTGTACAAGGACTGTTTTATTTCTCTGCATATAACTTAATATTTTTTTGTGACAATGATTGGGGAGCATATCAAGATACCTAGAGATCGATAACTAGGTATTGTGTATTTTTTGGAACGTCACTTATTAGTTGGAAATAAAATAAATAATATACAGTCTCTTGGTCTTTAGTTGAAGCAAAGTACACTGTTATGTCTAATACTTGCTGTGAATTGACCTAGATAAGGTACCTTTTAAATGATTTGAAGATTGATCATAAATATTCTATAGTAGTTCATTATAATAATAAAATAGTAACTTATATGACCAATAATGTAGTGTTTCATGAAAAAACCAGACATATAAAATAGATTATCATCTAATACGAGAGAAAATACAGTATAAAAATATAACAACTAAATATATCAGCAGTGAATCTCAAGTTGCATATATTCTTACCAAGTCATTAAGAAATAAGCTTCTATTTACACATTGCCAAGATGAGAGTAAAAAACATCTACTTTCCATCTCGTGGGAGGGTGTTGAAATATAATCGGCTAGAGTTAAAAAAAAAAAAAAAAAGAAGCAATAACCCTAAAAAGAAAATGTAGGAAAGAGAATATGCTTAAAGAACAAAGCCCATATGAAAAGTCTTCCTGAAAAGGAAAGCTAGCATGAGAGAATCTACCTAAAGAAGAAAGCTCATGCGAAAATCTCCCTAGAGAAGATAAGCCCACGTGAGAATCAACCTAAAAAGGACCCCAAAAAAAGAGTGTATGCGTATGTAAATATACGTAGGTTTATTAGGAAAAAAAAGATCTTGTATGCATAAAAATAGTTTATTTTGTACAGTTGAAAAACGATCGAGAAAAAGAGAAATAAGAATTAGAAACCCTAACGAGAGTTATTCTCTTTTGTCACTCCATTTTATCACTCTCTCTATGTTTGTTTCCTACTTTTTTCTTGTATTGATTTTGTGGATATAATAAACATTTTATGTGATAATGTTTTAGGTACGATTTCTTTAAAAAGAAAGTACAAAATTTACTTATTAATGTATATTGTAGATTAATATATTTATTAGTTCCATAAATCTATTTTCTAATGGATTGTTATCTTATTATAGCTGTAAATACGTAGTTTTATATTTTTTTATTATCAAAAAGTAAATTACTAAAAAAACTGAACTAATGTACTCTATACTTCAGTAAAAATTATGATATCAAAATATTATAGATAATTTACATTAAACTGAATATGCTAGAGAACCCAAAAAGAGTTGTTAAATTATGTAAGAAATACAACCCACAAATCTTAGCTTACTGAAAATTATAGAATGAATAATTCCAAGAAAGAAAACAATTATATTTCATAAATTATTATTATAAATTTTGGCTCGATATTACATATATGCTTTGCTCGTTACTATATATATTCTATTAAAATCCCATTAGATTTTTTATTTCATAATATTTATTATTAATTTTTAAAATATATCACTTTAATTCAGTTAAAACATTCAAAAATAAATTATTAATCTATAGCAAAAATATAAATTATTATTTATTTCTTAAAAAAATCTGTTAATTTTTTATTGCATTCTGTGTGCCTAGTGATAATTATTATATTTTAAACAAATTTTTATTATTTTATTATAAAATAAATAATAGGAGGCAAAATTTATTTTACTTTCAAAAATCTTAACTTTTTGTCTAATTTTTTTTTTAAATGGTGTTATTTATGTATAATGTAGCAAGATATATAATTCTCCCTGAACTAAAATTCATAAACAGTTTAAAGTTCTTAAACTTTCTACAGATATAAACAAACTAGTTCATAAATCAAAACAAATTTTCATGATTCAATAAGCTCTGAAGATAATTTACAGGCCACCATTCTCCATACAACAAACAAGGATTGCTAATGACTAATACCATCTCACTGCAAGGAAAACATGTTTCATACAAAACTGCAGTTGAGAACATGATCTGAGCAAATACAACCACAAATTTAGATAGAACCACCATTCGATTTCTGGGAATGAGTGAGGGATCTCAATCTCTCATAAGCATCGGAACATGCGTGAGCATAGTCTGACATGGCTCGAAATAGCTCAGGCAAGCGAATTTTAAGACTACCAAGAGACTTCTCTCTCACCTGCAAACAATGTCTTTGGTGAGCTTCAGTCTCTTCTTCCAACTTCTTCCTCAAGCTCTCCACCACAAACTTTCTCTCCGAGACAGGATCATTAGGATTTGCCTCTTCACCTGTTTCATCAGACATTCTTCGCTGCAGATACTTTTGATACCATTCTTCAAACACCTGATTCTTGCGCAAAAACTCTTTCCTAGTTTCCTCCAACTTTTCCTTTAGCTTCATTTCTTCCTCTTGATGAAGTATTATAGTCTTGATTACAGCAGCAAATGAGGATATTGCAGATTTGGCAACCTCATCTGGAAGCTTTTCAAGATGGTCATTCCAAGTGCGGAGAAGGGCTTGGATTGGGGGATTCTGGAGTCTTGGTGGCGATGAGATCTTCTCTTTTAAGTTGCTTTCAATGGGAATAAGATTCAGCTTTAACCAGCTAGTAAGAGATTGAATGTATTGTTTTTGATGGGTTACAAGCTTCTCAAATTGTGTGTGCCATTCTTGTACAACATTCAAAAGTTGCTGAGTGCGCTCATGGTGATGCTTACTTGTTTCCTTGGGGGAATGGGCTATGTCGATTGATTTGAGATCTGAAACAATCTTAAGCTGGCTGTCATGGTGCACGCACATATTTCCCCACATTTCAGCCATCCTGGTGAACATTGTAAAAAATAAATACTAATTATTAAGTTCATGAATCGTTTCTTACTCAAGTATTCCATAAAACTATTTGCAAGTTACCAACCAAAGGAAAGGGAGCAGAGAACATATAGGTCCAAGAGAACAAAATAATGAACAGAAGTAAGATGTAGTATCAATTGTCAAAACTTGCAGGATAAACAAACATCATGCAATAACTCAAACATAAGAACTAAACTGAGACTGGATGGTTTAGCTGAAATTATTTTATGTAACTTTAACAAGATTTTCACCTTCAATTTGTTGAAAAAAAAGAAAGTCTCCCTAGCAACCATGGGAACTAGCATGCCCAATGGTTACCTCCTTCCCTCTTTAGCAAGGGGGGGAAGTTTCAAATCCTGCAAGAAAAGTTTTCAGTAGCAAAAATAAAAAGTATCCATGATTCTTTGCAATAAGACTAGAAAGGAAGCATTCGTTTATAGCTCCTCATTGTTACAGGCTTGATTGCTTAATGCTAAGAAAGATGGTAAAACCAGGTAATC